AGCCAGCATGGCTGGCTGGGGAATTCTGGGAGTTGAAGTCCACACATCTTAAAGTGGCCACATTTGAAAAGCATGTCTTACATGATGTCTGTTCAGGTACTTGAAAAGTGCTATTATATTTCTTGAAACTCCTGCACAGTGTCTTGCTTTAAGGCTAAACATACTTACTTCCCTCATAAGGGAAGCTTCTGGTCCCCTGATAATCTTTGTTGCTCTTCTCTGCTCCTGTTCTAGCTTTTCTATATCCTTCTTGCAACTTGAATGGTAGAATAAAAATATGACTTCCTGTGACTATCCTCCCGCTGAGGCAGCCGGAAATTGTATTTGCCTTTTTAGTAGCCATATCACACTGCTGACTCATATTCAACATGTGGTCAAGCACAATTCTTTTTGACTGTATTACCAAGTCAAGAATCTCACAGCCAATACCCATGCATCTGATTTCTTGTTCTTAAGTGAAGAATTCTACGTTAAGTTTCTATGAATACTCTGGAATGGGTTCCTCATATTATCCTCTTCCTTCATAAAAACATCCAAGAACCCTAGTCTGACAGATTCAGCTGCCATTGCAACACTTGGATAGCAGACAAAGCACGATACCAAGTGGATAATTTGTATGGTGGTTTTTCTCTATTTTGTGGTAAAGATAGAATACTGAATTACCATAGCTGGAGAAAAAGTTTTCAGGAATAGTTGCATGGGGATCTTGAAGGGTGGGGAGTGTTCAAAAAGTCAAGATGATGGCCACCATCTTGGAATTATGGCCACCATCTTGACTCTGTGTTACACACACGCCTACGGATACCCCTGAATGGATGTTGTGAGATTAGGCTGAAGCTGCCCAAACCTAAAGATGAAGCAGAAGAGGACCACAAGCCGGGAATCTTGTCTAAAAGATCCTTTCGGGGAGGTAGTTAAGAAGCAAACCACAAAGGAAAAATGTCACCTGAACCAGACCAAGGAAGCTGGGCCTGAGCACATGGGAAAAAACCCAGTCCCATCAATCAACAAGCAAGGACTTTTGGGGTCCTGAAGACGACCCACTCCAGGCGTCATCCTGGAGCCAGACTTGGCGGCTTCCCTCCTTCCAGCTAGTGCCTGGCAGCGTAGTTGAGAAGGACGTAAGTGGGGATGAATGTGTGTGCATGTGTGTGAGAACGAGCAAATGCACATTGTAGCCAGGAAAGTTTTGCTGCTACTTTAAATTCACCGGGTCTCCATGAATTCCAGAGAAGTGGCTCAGTGTTCGGTTGGAAGAGATTTGTGTGTGTCTCTAATTCTTTCCCGGCTGTTGCCCAGGGCTGTGTGTCTTGTCTGCTCTAGCCACACCTACCTGGAAAACCCAGGTAGAAGGCAAGGGGGGCTTAAAAAGATCCGCTTTCCTCAACAGGCTGTGAGCGTGTGAGTGAGTGACCATAAGCCGAATCTGGGAGTGCCTGTAACAATGTCTACAAGCATTTATCCTGTGAAATATAACTGCCTCACTGATGGAACATATACACATGGTTCAATTTGTCATGCTGCTGCTCTTTTCCTCAAAACCACATGTGATCTATGACTCCTTTTATAACAGGGCTTTTGGGAAACGACAGTTTGCCATATTCAGGGCTGCGGTTTAATCAGTTTTATGTGTTGAATGCTGACAGAGGAAAACGCACGCTACTTCTATAAACAGGGAGGTAGTTCCATATCAGGATTGTGAAATGGAGTGGGAGATTTTGGAATTGATTAAATGAGGTTCTCTGATAAGATTCAATTGTGAAATTAACTTCAGAACCAACAAAATATCAAGAGGAGGATGAAGGGAGGAGGTGCTTGCTCTCTGTTTCTCTCAAGGGATTGGTGATCAAGAAAAGATTGATTTTAAAAAAGCCTACTTCCAATACATAAAAATAAAGGCGCTAAAGTTCAGGTCTATGATCGAATACTGGAATACAGTAAAGCACCCAAACAGAACAGCTGGATTACACAACCACAGTGCTTTTGGTCACCAGAAACATGTGCTTCCCTAGCCCCAGTTATTGCTCCCACAATTCTGTAGTATGCCTTCTTCTTCTGTTCTAAATACAGCAAATATTATATTGCATCTCCTGTGTGTTTACCTAGCACCCATTGTATTTTGGCAGACAGTGCCATATATATCATCATTTCGAGCCTGCCTCCATTAAAAGTCATCCTTTCTAAGTTTAGAGTTGCATCTTGCATACTCTATCACCATCTGTTTTACCACAACCTCAGAGATGCAAACCTTCCTGCAGTAACTAACTTTTTAAAAAGTCAGAATCGTTTTAAAAAGAAATGCGGTTGATGTATCAGTCCCCTCCCCCCCCCCCCCCCCAGCCTTCTCAG